TCCTCCTCCTCCTCTCTGGCCTGGTCCTCCTCCTCCTCCTCTCTGGCCTGGTCCTCCTCCTCCTCCTCCTCCTCTCTGGCCTGGTCCTCCTCCTCCTCCTCCTCTCTGGCCTGGGTCCTCCTCCTCCTCCTCCTCTCTGGCCTGGTCCTCCTCCTCCTCCTCCTCTCTGGCCTGGTCCTCCTCCTCCTCCTCCTCTCTGGCCTGGTCCTCCTCCTCCTCCTCCTCCTCTCTGGCCTGGTCCTCCTCCCTCCTCCTCCTCTGGCCTGGTCCTCCTCCTCCTCCTCCTCTGGCCTGGTCCTCCTCCTCCTCCTCTCTCTCTGGCCTGGTCCTCCTCCTCCTCCTCTTCTCTCTGGCCTGGTCCTCCTCCCTCCTCCTCCTCCTCTCTGGCCTGGTCCTCCTCCTCCTCCTCCTCCTCTCTGGCCTGGTCCTCCTCCTCCTCCTCCTCCTCCTCCTCCTCTCTGGCCTGGTCCTCCTCCTCCTCCTCCTCCTCTCTGGCCTGGTCCTCCTCCTCCTCCTCCTCCTCTCTGGCCTGGTCCTCCTCCTCCTCCTCCTCCTCTCTGGCCTGGTCCTCGTCCTCCTCCTCTCTGGCCTGGTCCTCGTCCTCCTCCTCCTCTCTGGCCTGGTCCTCGTCCTCCTCCTCCTCTCTGGCCTGGTCCTCCTCCTCCTCCTCCTCTCTGGCCTGGTCCTCCTCCTCCTCCTCCTCTCTGGCCTGGTCCTCGTCCTCCTCCTCCTCTCTGGCCTGGTCCTCGTCCTCCTCCTCCTCTCTGGCCTGGTCCTCGTCCTCCTCCTCCTCTCTGGCCTGGTCCTCGTCCTCCTCCTCCTCTCTGGCCTGGTCCTCCTCCTCCTCCTCCTCCTCTCTGGCCTGGTCCTCGGCCTGGTCCTCCTCCTCCTCCTCTCTGGCCTGGTCCTCCTCCTCCTCCTCCTCGTCTCTGGCCTGGTCCTCCTCCTCCTCTCTCCTCTGGCCTGGTCCTCGTCCTCCTCCTCCTCCTCCTCTCTGGCCTGGTCCTCGTCCTCCTCCTCCTCTCTGGCCTGGTCCTCGTCCTCCTCCTCCTCTCTGGCCTGGTCCTCGTCCTCCTCCTCCTCTCTGGCCTGGTCCTCGTCCTCCTCCTCCTCTCTGGCCTGGTCCTCGTCCTCCTCCTCCTCTCTGGCCTGGTCCTCCTCCTGGTCCTCGTCCTCCTCCTCCTCTCTGGCCTGGTCCTCGTCCTCCTCCTCCTCTCTGGCCTGGTCCTCGTCCTCCTCCTCCTCTCTGGCCTGGTCCTCGTCCTCCTCCTCCTCCTCCTCTCTGGCCTGGTCCTCGTCCTCCTCCTCCTCCTCCTCTCTGGCCTGGTCCTCGTCCTCCTCCTCCTCCTCTCTGGCCTGGTCCTCGTCCTCCTCCTCCTCCTCCTCTCTGGCCTGGTCCTCGTCCTCCTCCTCCTCCTCTCTGGCCTGGTCCTCGTCCTCCTCCTCCTCCTCCTCTCTGGCCTGGTCCTCGTCCTCCTCCTCCTCCTCCTCCTCTCTGGCCTGGTCCTCGTCCTCCTCCTCCTCCTCCTCCTCTCTGGCCTGGTCCTCCTCCTCCTCCTCTCTGGCCTGGTCCTCCTCCTCCTCCTCTCTGGCCTGGTCCTCCTCCTCCTCCTCTCTGGCCTGGTCCTCCTCCTCCTCCTCTCTGGCCTGGTTCTCGTCCTCCTCCTCCTCCTCTCTGGCCTGGTCCTCGTCCTCCTCCTCCTCTCTGGCCTGGTCCTTGTCCTCCTCCTCCTCTCTGGCCTGGTCCTCCTCCTCTGCTGTGGCCACGTCCTCCTCTTCCTCCTTTGTGGCCTGGTCGTCGTCCTGTGGCCTGGTCCTCCTCCTCCTCCGTGGCCACCACCTCTTGCTAATTTGCTGTTCCAGTAGCTTTAGGCATGTAGTTTCTACTTGTTGCTGTTACCTCCTTGGTGATGAATTGACACAGGGGTAGTAAAGCTTCTCAACAAGACCTAACACACTGTTGGGGAATGCTGAACAAAATTATAGTACTGTACTTAGTCAAGGCTTAATTTTCAAATTATTTACCTAAATTACTTTATATATATATATAAGTTAATTGGTTGGTGCACCCATTACATTTTGATGACAGTATTGTATGTTACTTGACCAGTGTGGTAAAACTCACTCTCACCTGTGCAAGTTGGTGAAAATGATGATAGTTTGAATTACATGGTAATATTTGTTAATAAGTCTCTGTGTCTCTAACAGACAAGCAAGAAACGCCGAGGCACCATCAAGAACAGACCGGTGGTCGTGAAGGGTCACCGACCAAAGACTAAGGTTACATAAGGTTTAGAGAAGGTTTAGAGTGTAGTTGACTGATAAAATCATCCTCTTCCCCACTTTTTACTTTGTTACTAGTTCCTCTATTGTCCATTTCACTTTTCACCTTTTGTGTGTGTGCTAGGATGTGACTTTTGATGTGTGAAAGAATATGATGTACTGTACTTCCATGATAATTTGAAGGATAGCATTTGCAAAAAAAAAATAAATAAAAAAAAAATAAGAAAAAAAGGGGAAGTGGAAAGAAAATGTGTAAAGTAGCATTGGGAAGATTACAATAGGTAATAAACCAAAAAAGGTTCATGTGGTATTTATGATAAAATATCTTAAATCTTCTTCAAGCAACTATGCTTCCAGATATTCATACCTTGATGCCAGTTGGAGAAGAATGATGTGAAGCCAGCCCATGCCTTAGCTTTGCTGTGAAATAAATCATGCTGAAGCATTTGAATAATTTAACACGTTTTTGTATCATAATGCCTAATTTTGGCGTAATGGTTTGAAAATTAAGCGGTACCTATATTATCTTGCCCTGTTAGCAGAATGTTTTTTTTTCTTTTGTTTTTATCACACATTTGTCATGGATAATAAATCTTCCTGTTAAGTGGGTTGTAGATTATGTAGGTATTGTTATGAATGAATGAATTGGAAGTGAAGCTACAACTATTGGGGTCGATCATATTAGTTCTCTTCGATGTAATTTCTGAATACCTGTCAGTGTCCAGTTGTCAAGGCAGTCATTATGGTTATTCTCATGTAAAGCTACATGGCTACAATGTGTGTTGCAGGGAATATATATTTTTTAATTAAAATTTTGTTGGGTAAGCTTAACTCAATGCTGGGTGGGGAGCAAAATTGGGATAAATGAGGGTTTTGTTATAAATAGAGTTTAAGGTATGAACTGTAATATACACTTGGCTGGTTGTAAATGACAGTACAGGTTCCATATTATGTTACAGTAAAAAAAGGATTCCTCTTATACCAGTTACAACCAAGGATACACTATTATCTTTATTAATGAATACCACAGTAAGCTTTGTTGGAGCTTTATCTGTTGAAAACTCTTAAATTTCCATATAATAAGTGCAAAGATATTTTTTAAGGCCTTGTGGATACGTTTAATTTGTTGTCATTGAATTTAAATAATTTTTGCATTAAGGTTAAATTATTTGTATATTGCTGTATTGATTGATGCAATCTGTGGGCATAATATTGTAACTGGTACTTGGCCGAGGCTAGGAAGATTAAGGCGTGAACTGTATGGCACTTATATTTTTGTCCAAATAAAATTTCAAAATAAAATTTAGATGTCCTCATTTGGGGAATGTATACCTTTGTAATAATTACAGGGGTAATTCAAGTAGTTTAAGAAATCATTCCTATCATATGTAGTGTATAATTAAAAGTACTGTAGAGTATCAGATGGAAAAAAGTTGAATATATATATATATATATGGATATGGATTAGCCCACAATGCCTAGAACACGTTTTATAGGAGTGGATCTTGAGAAGTGACAACACCTCTGTAGAATATACCGGTAATTCTTAGTATATTATTAAATGACGGGAAAGCAGATACGGTGTGTAACATTAGTGTCCGGTCTAAACCTTGTGTAACAATGCCTGTATATAGTATCCACCATTGTAAGACATCAAAATTAATTATCATAAGAAAATAAATGTCCAGTGTTTATTTTGGTACTTTCATCATAACTACCTAAGAAAGACAATAAATAATAGTTTGACATTGTGTGTGGCAAATCTTGATATGTTTTTGGCTGCATGGTGTTGGTGACTTAATGACTGCAAACAGGAGTTGATAATTGGCAAGACTCCAAACTGAACATGCAAACGGCCACATTATAGTAAATTTGCAAGACTAACAAGAAAACAACATGAACACTTCTATTATTCAACATTCTAGTCTTATGTGAAATCTTATGTGTTTTTGATAAGTTTGCTAATTGGGGATGTTTGCAGCAACAAGTGCCCAGTAGCCGAGTGTAAATAATGAGCGATATTGTGAGGGTGATGAGTCTAGGTGTAGTGTAGCACAGGAGATGTACACTACAGCATCCCTTTCACAAATGGGATCTCATATTTGTTTGAAAATGATGGGTTACCTTGTGGGTGAATACAGGATTGATTTATTAAGGCAAAGTGCATTGCTTGCATAACAATTGTTTTTGAAGCAAAGTGTGATTACTTTTTTACACCACACAAACTTGATGGCTGTAATTGCAAATCTGGAAGTGATATGTGAGTATTGTGGAATGTTCAGATGATTTTTATATGATGTTGAACATTTATGAGAGTATATAAATTATAGCTTTTATTTATTTTATTATGAAACTTTAATTCTGTTCCAAAAGTTTTAGTTAGAGGAGTTATAATTCATAAATGTTGGAGTGGCAATATCCACTTGCCTAACCACGAAGTATTTTGTTTAAAAGGGGGAAACTGGGTTGTTGTTGAATAATTGAAAGCAGTCATATTTTTCTTTGTATTGGTGACAGGGTTTGTACTATTGATTTATACAAATTAGTATTCAATATACTTATTGATCTTTTAATCTTTGCACAGCACAATTTTTTGTGCCATTGATTTTATTTTCTCTTTATTTCTGGTGCCTCAAGTTAAGCACGTTCCATTAGAGTGAACAGTGTTGTTATCACGACGTTACTGTGTTTATATAAATGCATAAGGATCCAACTTTAGTGTTATTTTGATCCTATAATAACCTGATCCTCTAAACTGTTACGCATTAATTTTGGTTATATCTAAACTTCAACAATGTTTTTCATTTTCCCTGTTGTTCAAATCTTGTAAACTACTATAGCCTTTGCTTCTAAGGATTAAAATACACATTCATAGCAAGTGCCGAATGACTACCTTTTTAGCGTTGAACTCTACCTGAATCCTACCATAATTAATTAGCATAATGTAGTCATGACTCCTCAAACTCCTTTGAGGCGAGACAAATTTTTTCTAAATTTTTGTTATATCTGTGTACTGTACTGTAGTCTCTTTTTTAAGTATCCTTGAAACATTTTGACAGTAGAAGTACTATCAGAAATACTTTTGTAGATCCTACATGCATCCAGAAAATGTCAAAAGTCTTAATGAATATAATGAACAAGGAGCCCGAACTCGTGAGATAGTATACGCAGGTCACCATTGAGGAACTGGATGGCACTAGGGACCAATAGTTGTGCCAACTCCTCAATTCCTACTTTACCCTCGTCTGGGTCAACATGCTAGATAATTGGTTCAGCCAGATAGCACTAATTTGTCTATTTTACGTGTCCCTCACCCTGGAAGCATGTCGCCTCTTAGCCATTAAAATGCAGTAGTCATGTATTGTCTAGTGAAATGGGGGTTATGTGATTGTTTTGTCATCGTTTGAATACTAGTCGCTTACATGTGGTTGCAATTGGTCTCCCAGATGGGTGGCCATAAAATAATTTGGAGTTTGACTCTTATCCAAATTATATGGCGAGAGATTCCCCCCTGCCCCCCACCATCTGATTAGCCAGATATTTAGGTAAGCAGAATTCTTTCGGGGAAGTCTAAAAATGACTACATTCACACATTTTTGGACCACAGCTACCATAATTCTTATTTCCATATGCCCTATAAATAAAAAAATATAAAGAAAAACTTCAGCTTACCTTGCTATAGTTTCTATTCTTGTGTGATGTAGTAATCTTGAAATGTGTAGTTCTAGAAAATTTGTGTAACCTAATCTTTGGTTATCCGAATTTCTATTCGGATATGGTGAAGTTTTGCCAGAAAATTATCCAAATTTGAATTATTCTATGCCGGTTGGTCTTTGTTTAACCAGTCAAATCTCCATTTATCCAAATTTGTTCAGATACGGCAAAGTTTGGCAGAAAATTATCAGAACTGAAAATTCCCCGGATAACCCAAATATTTGTTTCAGCAGGCTTAGGATAACTGAGCTCATTCAGTGTATGATTTTGGAATTCTTTTGTACTTTTAATAGATACCTTACTTTAGATGTGAAAAATGTGTTTTCACTTATTAGGCAGTCAGTCATTCTGAGTGAACATACTGCCATAGTAACGTGTACAGCATCAGCAATAGCAAGAAAACTCGCTGGGTTCATTGTCACTTGCACCCAGGCACAAATGGAATTTATTTAACTGGCTAAAGGGAACAGACTGTCGAACAAGAGATAACATTCTGCAACCCTCTAGTTTATCTTGCAGGGGAACCTTCAAGTACAGTATTTCATTATACTACACAAATTTTTAATGTTAGAGGAGTGCAATGTTTCAGCTAGTAGTCCAGATGTCCCTTTGTTCATGCTGCAGCTTTGGGGATGGAAACAGCTGATTATCAATCTCCATTATACTTATATTCAAGACAAATTCTTGCAATTACGGATTCCTCCTTTTTGTCCATGATGAATGAATGAGGTTGTTGGCTGCATTGTACAGGTTCACCAACTTGCTCTTCTGTTCTCTTTTTCCATGGCTACCTTGGCATGATGTTTAATGTTGCCCTTTGTTCCCTTTACAATCTAACATCCATTCCACTATTGTTCATAGTAGTAAATAAGTGGCACTGTATATAGTCTGTTCTCTATACTGCCTTCCACATCTTGCTTCTCCATCTCTGTCTGCAGAAGTGCTTTTTGGTGGATATGGGACTATTCACAAAATATGCCAGGAGTGTGAAACCTGGTAAAGGCTACACACTCAAACGGTGCCATTATCATTACTGGTGGTGGCTCTAAATAAGCTCAATTCATACTTTCAGCCGTTACGTTAATTTCTCATTTAACTCGAGACTTTCATGCTGAATTTCACCCTTTGGACTTTCATAGCCCTACTAGTCTTCCCAGTTTGGTGCCTTCTTTTGATACTTACTTTCATAGCCCTACAATGATTGCTTCATTCTTTCTGAATGCCATTTTTTAATAATTACTTTTTAAATTCCAAGTGGCTGTGTCCCTTTGCAAATCCACAGAAAAATGCTTTGTCATCTTCTGTGCACCTTAGAATGTGCTGTGATTATATTACTATATTTATTGCCACACATTGTCAGAGTAAAGAAAGTTATCACAAGGCACCGAGCTGGGAAGGAGAGGTGGTGGGAACGCAGTTTAGAGCAATTATAAAAAAAAGTACTGTGGTGCTTAAAACACTGCCTAAGAGGGTATTCTCATTGGTGACAAGATGCAGAGAAAACAATCTTAAGGTGGACTTTCTCCCTTAAACAGGTTAACCAGCTCTAAATGCTTTGCGATTGTCTCCTATGCTTAGTTTCCCATATGAGTGATCCTCATGGATTATGAATAATTTCAGCAGGAAAGGAAGCTTGAAAGAAGTGCCAAATTGCCTTGGAGGCCTGAAGAATGCTATTGGGCCAATATATCTACATTCGTTTATATTGATAATGGTACATGTTGATATTCAGACATAACAGCCCATTATCAATTAGTATGTATTTACTATTTGTCTGCAGACTCAAGCTACTTAGCTCTTGGACCCTGCCTTTCTAGCCAATCCATTTTTCCTCTTATTATGTCTACTCAACACACACACATTCCCAGGCAGCAGCCCATAGCAGCTGTCTGAATCCCAGGTACCTATTAGTTTCACATTCTAAATAAGAAAAGAACAGCTACAACTGTTGCCCTCAGAAAAAGTAAGTAATTATCAAAAGGCACCAAACCGGAAAGGCTATGTAGCACCATCAAATGTGCAGAATAATCAGGGGGCGTTAAATATCGCCAAGGATGCCAATACGAGAACAAACGCATAAGGCGAACGATATCAAAAGCATCCAATTCATCAAGAATTCTATTGAGGGACAAGTGACCACGAGAGACGGTTGGAAAACAAGACACACACTCGTCCTGCAAGTCAGGACATTCAACAAGGATATGTACGATTAAGAGGGACAATGCAATTTGAACAATAAGGAGTACGGCGGCGCTCCATTAAGTGACCGTGAGTTAAGCGTGTATGGACAATACACAACCCTGCTAGAGCAGTTTCCCACTGCCGGTTACAGTGGTAGGAGGAAGGCCACGGGGACACACTACGCTGAAGAGTACGCAGTTTGTTACCAACAACCCTGCCAATGGGCAAGGATGGAGGAATGAATAACCAGGGAAGTCGGAATAAGGAATACCTTTACGGGAGATGGGACGAGCGGAAAGCTTCCCTAGCGGCAGCATCCGCACACTCATTTAAAGAAACACCAATATGGCTGGGAACCCAGCAAAACTCTACAGATTTTAATTTACAATACTGGATAAGAAATGGCCAATGTTGAATCGCGATGATCACCGGATGGACTGGATTAAAGGACCCTAGATCCATGAGGGCACTACGAAAGTCAACTACAACCACAAAAAGAGGATTGATAACAAAAGAGCATGAAATGAAGAGCATAGAGATTACCATACAGTTCTGCTGTGAAGATACTAGTCTCCGGAGGTAGGCGACACATATAAGCGAGGTCAGGAAAAAACAACAGAATAACCTACACCGTTCGCAGACTTAGACCCATCGGTGAAGATGGGAAGGCAAAGAAATGCCCCAATGAACTCAGAATACAGTACTGTATAGCCAAGAAAACAATGTCTCTCTCTCTAGGCATTTAACAATGCATGAACATGGCTCCATCCAGGAACATATAATCCCCTCACACGAGACAATCACCAGGGATATTTTGACGAGCAACACCGAAATAATTGATACAATTACAATAGAAGATTAGACATCAGTGAAGCACTGCATATCAAGAAATCTAGACCAGCAATCAATAACCAGCAGTTAATAATAGTAATAATAATATCAATAACACAGTTACACTACCTACTTCAAGACCCTGGGCCAATGCAGAAGCTGGACTGAATGACCATGCAACAGGAAAGAAAGCAACCAGAACATAAACTGCCAACATGTCACACTCAATTTACCACCCTATTAATACCCCCATGTGACATTCATCCATGTCACCTTCCACCTCACTATTAGAGGATATAATCAGGTGCTAACACATTAGAAAGTCATTGGGAATGCGAGGCAAGACCTTACGAAACGCATCACTAGGCATCAGATCCAAATAATAGGTAAAAATGAACTTTCGAGAGTTAAATTTTAATCTTCTTGCTTCAGTGAAGAAAAACATGAATATCAATAAGATTCGTGCCAGAATCATAAATCTAAAACTTTCTGTTGTTGTCAATGAAATATGTTTAAAAGAAAGACTGCTACCAAACTAGCACGATGGACACAAAATCCTGTGGTCCGGGGTTCAATTCCCGGCGCCGGCGAGAAACAATGGGCAGAGTTTCTTTCACCCTGATGCTGCTGTTACCTAGCAGTAAATAGGTACCTGGAGGTTAGGAAACTGTTACGGGCTGCTTCCTGGGGGGGGGGGTTAATTAGCAGTTAGTAACAGTCGATTGATTGACAGTCGAGAGGCAGGCCGAAAGAGCAGAGCTCAACCCCCACAAGCACAACTAGATGAATACACACACACACACAGTATATAAAATAACCATCCTACAAATATATAGGATTGTATCAGATTGTCAATCAATAACTAAATATCAGAGTACAATAAGCAAAATTTCCTTTCCTTCAAATACACTTGTGATAAATTACTTGAGAACAGTTTCTCATCGTTTATTTTTCTCTGTGCCAAGTTAATACAGGATCAAGTGCTCTGCTGGGACACCATTGTTTTACTACCATGCCAAGTTGGGCTGCAAGTTTGCTTGAACAACATCTCATGTTACATTACATTTTCCTCGAGATCAGAATATTTTGTCCTTAACTTACACGTACTGGTTGTAAGCTCATCCCTCACTTGTATGGTTTTCACCTCATCAAAATAAAATTCTTTTCCAATGTTACTAAATCATTTTAAAATAAATTTTGCCAGTAAAATTTATATTGTTGAAACTTGCATAAAATTTATGATAGTATCCCCCCTATAATCTATATACACAATACAGTATTACACTTTTAAGATAATTTCCACTTGTCAATTATGCTGTTCTAGAATTGCATTGCATATGCAATTGTGTGACACATACATTGAATGTGCCTTAAAGATAGACAAGACAAGGAAAGGAAGGAAATTATGACGAGAAAGCACCAAGCCAGTATGTGTATACAGCATATGGAAGGGATACGAGGAGAGCTGGGATGAGGAGGGAGGGGAGGAATGAAGCCCAACCCCTTGGACCACTGGGAATCAAATATCGCGCCTCCAAGAAACAAGGCCGTCTCTACTGCTCAGTCCAACCTAAATACCAGTTCACTGCACAATATGGGGAGTGATTTACTGAGGTGCCCAGAAATTAACAAGTGCTAACAAACAATTGCCAGAATTATTTTGAGCTATCTAGAAAATTAAAAAATTTTGAATAAATTGGAGAAAAGAATACCAATAGCAGTCATTTATTACATTGTTGATATCAGTAATTTTTTTATGTGTAACAAGAGGTTGAATGAATACAAGACAACTTCACCGAGCAATCTTAACATTGAGTGAGAGCATCTTGCCATCATATAACAGGGTTTGCATCTCCAGGGAGAGGAAGCTGCTAGGTATATCAAAGCCGCCCCCTACTCCATTGACTGATTTTTCCCAAGATGCAACCCTCAACAGCTGCCGAACTCCTGGGATCCTATTTACTGGGTGAACAGAGGCATCAAGAATAAGAAAATGTGCCTTAACATCTAGCCCTACCTGCCATTCAAACATTGGAACAATCGGTTACAATTTTTTTCACCCTTGTTTTGAAGCTTGTGTGCCTGTTCAACATAAATACAGGAATTCACTAAGCCTCTAAACTGATAGAACTTCATACATTATCGCCTAATAACTCAATATAACAAAATATTCTAAAACATACTTCGTGCCCTTGTAAGAAAAATATTGAATAAATAATAATTTATGTTTACCCTGTAACATAACCACTGTGTATTTTTGTACAAATAAATATTATTCTAAAAACCTTTAGCTTTTGAAACCATATAAATGCAGAAATTTTTTAAATACTTATCCTTTAAGAAAAGTTGCACACTGCAATCTAAAACACAACACCAAATTGCTGCACATCTTGTACAGATATTATATCAAAATACAAATACACAATGTAACTGGATAGGTAGAATACTGACTGGTAATTATAGTGCTTCATTTTTAACAAACCACTTTCCAACTCGTACGTTTTGGCACAATATACAAAACGCATCTGAACAAGAAGACTTCATTAACTTTCATGAATTATCTGGAAGACCCTTATTTCAAACTTAAAGTCCATGATAAATACTAAAAAAATATGGTATATTGTATATAAAAATAATATAATTAGCTTAAATGTAAATTGCCAACATCCAAGAGCAAACATTTTTCAGACCTTTCACTCTCAGAAGCATTTTCAAGTTTTCTTTTAAGACTAACTCGTGCATACTTGGTCCCAGCTCCTTCACATGCTGCAGGTAAAATGTCGGAATTTTCTTCACTATCAGTGGTTTCACTCAAACACTCGCGCATCACCTCACGTGGTATTACTTTAGCTTCTGGAGATTCAAAATGTCTGTGTTCAGGTTTTAGCTTATCACTATCTGCCTGTTCATACGAATGAACTGCAGCAGACATGCTCCCAGAACTATTCTTATGCACAGAGTAATATCCGGAACATATATTCTCTCCGTCAGAATCAGAGTGAATACCAGAAGAGAACTTTTGTTTACGGGGAGATAATTCAGCATTTGAAGGCTCCCGAGGTAATTCCCCATCACTGATGTCCATTCTGTTGTCATCAGCCTTGACATAAGCACCGGAAGATGCTTCACCTCTCTCACCAACGTTCCAGTTACCCCTACCACATACACCGCTGTTGCCCACATCAAAGTGTTTGTTGGTCCTTACAAGACTTTGTTTTAGTGCTTGACAAATTGGTTCCTCTTGCTGGCAGAAATGTTCCTGAAGAGGCTTTTCATTTTGCTGCAATTGTTGCGTTCTATTTATTCTTTCACTACACACCACACCACTGCTTCCAGTATCGGCATCCATGCTTGTAATGCTCGCATCATCTAGGGTATAAAATATATCAATCATTATTTTCCATTAAAATATAGATATCATATATAATAAAGTTACTGTATCATATATTGGTGGCATATTTCATAATGCCGCCAATTAGTAAAGGCAGAATTTTTCTCTAACGTACATATCACGTACATCACACATCAGAGTAGAAGTCTCAACAATATTTAATACTTTTGTTGAAGTTTCAGAAAGAGGGTAGCTGTAGCCTTCTGGTTGAATTAAATAAAAAATATTAAATGTTTTTTTATGAGGGTTACAAAATAAAGCTAAACAAAAATAAAAAAAGATTGAAGCAAGATAAAACAATGTGGGCAATAATGGTAGAAAGAGTCTCATAATGAATGACAGTAGTAAGGGTGCAAGAAGATGCAGCCCTTCAGACAACTGCCAACTCGAAATGAATTGTTTAATGTCCAAGGTAAATTGTATTGGTAAGTCTTAACCAATCTTGTACCTGAACATCAAAATTATTTCAAAACAATCTTTAACCCTTATAGTGTGGTTATCAATCACCACACGCTGATCCCTGGGATAATGCAGTTATCACATGGTGATTTGAGACGAGATTGGCTGCTTTTTATACTCATGTTATTAATATGAATATAATTATGGCTCTATAAGAATGTAGTGGGGTTTACCTAGATCCATGAAAAAACTAACACTGAATGTAACGAAACACATCTTCCTGGCGGGTCTTTTGGTAGCTACGGTCTATCTGTTGCTTACCACCTGGATAGCTCCACACACATCATACCAGGCCTTTGAGTCATAAAAATACCCATTGGAGATCAGAGGCCAAAACCTGCCCCGTTACAAAGGCACAGAGAGTAGGCACAATATGTCACTGAGATAATAAGCCCCCAGGAAGGCAAAGCAAAACAAAGGATAACAGGAAAAGGAAAATGTTAACTCTGAAAATTACTCACACAGTAGTTAGGCCATTTCCTTGCAAATTACACCCCACTGACAGTTAATTATTTAATTACCTAAGTGTAGTTACAGGATGAGAGCTACGCTCGTGGTGTCCCGTCTCCCCAGCACTCTGTCATATAATGGTGGTGGCAGCCCCATGATGCTAATGTATCACGTAAGGGATGTGTGATGCAAGAGAGATGAAGGAAGGTTCTGCCGACTGATGTACCAATATTTGCAAAATACACGACCAGGAATAGACTCCTTGTCTTACAGCAATTCTTTCACTTTGCAGACAAGGATAATACTCATGAAAATGATTGTGTAGAAAATTAGGCATGTGACCATAACATCAAAACACAAGTTTACTGCATTAATCAATGCATTCCAGAAATTTGTTATTGAGGAGTTCCTTGTATTATTAATTAAAAGAAGTTTTGTTCAAGAAGTGAATAACCTCAAAATGCCAGGTTTGGAGTAAAATTGTTCATACTGTGACCGAGACAAGGATAGCATTACATCTAATCAAATATGGTACTTATCAAAAGTATGCACTGCCTTGTTCAAGGTTGTGCATACTTATGGCAAAAAAAGGAATGATGATCTTATGAGTGAAAGATTGTTGGCTGAAGTATGCGCCAAATACATGCCATCACCAAGTGTGATACCTCCCTGAAGCCACATAGCTGGGATGCTTAGTTGGCCTCGGACATTCATAGTAAGAGGTTGTGTTGCACATCTCGCTCTAGCACTTTGCTGTGTTTTATCGCAGTTAACAGTGGTGTTGGTGGTATGACATTGCTCTTATGACAGCCACAAAAGAAATAAACAAAGAAACCATTGTTCAGATCATTGCTGGTCATTGCTGGTGCTGATCAGGAAGCAGGCCACCAAAGGAAACAAGTTAATTGTTGTGAGTAGCCAAGTCGACGTGAGGTAGTAATGTACACGCTTCCAAGGGGAAAAAGTCAACCATGCACAGTGAACATAAAAAAAGAGGAAAGAATAATGAAAGAAATAATCCGTAAAGGAGTAAAAAGCACTACTCCTAACCAAAACATAGACCTGATCATATTCTACAAAACCAAGAAGACTTCCGACCTCCTTATCAAAAACAGCCCGAAGCCGATGGAGAACCCTCTACAGCAGTCAAGCATTGTATATATGTACACTTGCCCCCACGAAGGATGTAACCTTCAAATCTAAGTACATAGGTATGACGTCGACCAAGCTGATGAGGCGTTTGACCTGTCATCTTCAATCCGGTGCCCCCAGGAATGACACGAGACAAGCCCATGACATCACCCTTACAAGAGAAATGTTGAAAAAAAAATACCTGTATAATAGACAAAACCCAAGATGTAAGATTACAAATTCTTGAAGCAATTCACATAAGAATAGAACAACCTACCATGAACACCCAAATCACGGCACTATTTACTCTACCCACCATGAGAGTAAGGACAAGACCGGAATATAACTATGCCAACACACAAGACACTGCTCAACATAACAGGCCTATTACACCTGATTAATCTTTGTATGTGCTTCATCCCCCATTTATCCCCTTGCCTTTTCCTTTATTGTACTTGTTTTATCACCTGACCCCGTACTGGTATAAATTAACGAGTTCTGTAATTTCTTTCACTTGAGAATGAACCATGGAGGTTCGAAACGTTGTGCAATTTTATAATTAGTGTAATATATTCTTCAGTTATTCAATTCCTTTCTTCACCTAAAAAAAAACATGACTTTTGGTGAACTCCTCTTCCAGCTGAACCCTGATGCAAGATCATTAGTAAGAGGGATAGAAGCCCTAAATCAGAAAACAGTAAATATGGAATATGCTGTCATATTCAATGAGACATGCATATTTTATATATATTATATATATATAATATAGATATTAACTTGTCTGCTGAATTGAACATTAAACTTGTTTGCTGAAACTGAACATTAACTTGTCTGCTGAATACCACTTAGAAAACTATAAATTTTGAAAAATATTTTTCAACTTACTGTGAAGACTAGGAGGTAGAGTCACCATTTCCAGATAGTCTGCTTCAGACAGTGACAACATAGATAAAAAGGCTTCCAATTGTGGTACAGGAAGCAGGCCTACTTGATCCTTGGTGATGGATGCCAAACTGTACCGATCTAAAATTCCCTGCCGCTGGCATTTTATGCCATCAATGTCAAAACTGAAAGAGAATAAATCAATGATAATGAGTCTAGTACAGTACTGCAATAAACTTAAAGAATTAAGTTCAACTCACAGAGAGGCCCAATGCAGCTTGAACATACCAGCCTTCAGTACCTTTAACAAATATGTAACAACCCTCCAGTTGTGCAAATTTACAAAGCACACCTTTGCTATTCGTGGACTTGTTTGGAGTTAATTGCTCTATCACTTTTTCACATTTCAAGACAAAAACCATCCTTTTGATTCATTAACAAGTTAATCAATGAACATCGTTAAACCAAAATTGATCACTTTTATCAGACAAACATAGCAAATGACAGCTGAAGCAAACCTTTGGCCAATTTCAAGAATTCTCATCAATTCAAACCTAAACTGGGGGGAAAAAGTTTTTTAATGCTTTCGTTGAGAACGTTATTGCTGACCGTACCTCAGAGGCTCAAGTATCAATCATGACCTGCCTCATTTGGCATTAGCTGCAGGAGCCTAATTCCGGCTTGAAACTTTCTCAGTTCTGGCAATCTTTCTTATATACTCTGGTAGTAGTTATTTCAATGTACAGACAAGGGACATGACCTTTAAGCATCAAGCATGTATAGATTAGGTGATATCTCTTCCGAGTGCTTTCAGATAATACCCCACCATCAACATTCACAATCCCACCTTTTACTCATTCGCTCATTCTTCCCTCACTTGCACTCATTCACTCACTTCACCCAACTCCCCGCACACAACACACAGTATTCAAAGTGTAACACTGTAAAGTGTTTTGGGTTAGTTTATTTAAAATATATATAGAGTACATGAGTCACAGACAGGGACCTGAGAAGGCGCCAAGTTGTCGGCCGGAGACTCACACCTCTAACCGACCCCAAGGACCCCAAGTGACCTGAGGTCAGATCATGTGAATTTCACCTTGCTTCTACTAATCTCATAATTGGAGCCTGGTAGCCTTCAAACATGCCGACGTTTAAGGAGTGGCTTGGTAGAGAGCCGGAGGCTATCTACTTGTGAGCGGAGTTAGCTACTAGGTTCCCCAATAAATACTCGGAGAACTATCGATTCGAGAGCATTAAGAGAGCAATAGGAGACCAGCCAGCGGAGCAGAGCAGAGGCCAGCCGTCGAGATAGGCCGTCACCAGACGGGGGGTTACGCTGCTTGGAAATTGCAGCTCCCCCCCCTCCCTCTCTATTCAACTTGGACTCAGTCCTCGGTGAGTGAACATTTAGGTGAATTGGTCATGTTTTACAAGTGTTGTGTGATGATCAGGGGCAGTCAGTTGTAGTGTTCTCAGATTCTTGGAGGATGACTCACTTTGAATATTAATCTTTAACATTTTAATTGGATTGCTTAAGTTATGATACTTATCATGAAAAATATAATTGTTGAATTTATTATTTAAATGGACTTTATTTTGTTCCCTAGAGATTTTGAGTTGAGGTGAGAAAGCCTCTGTGGTTACTGGTTTCATGGTTTAGAATGAGTACATGATAAAGATGGGACCATACTAATAATGATTTCTTGATAACATCTTTGGTGAATATTGTGATACAGACAAGTTCCATTCCTTGTCTTGTATGTAATGATCATGAATGGATGGTGGCAGCATTTCGTCTTCTACTATCTACTTTCTACTTCTACTAGCTACTCTTCTAATTCTACCTATCTATTCCTCTCCCTCCACCCCTCTCTAAACTCTCACTTTCAACTAATGACCCTCCTCGCTCCTCCCACCTCCCTACCTCTCACCCCAAACCCTCACTAATTACTTCACTATTCATTTCTTTCCTTTCGTTTTCTCTTATACGTTTGTGGCAATGATTATATATTCTAGAGTCCTCTCTAGAGTTTCGGGTAACTGATCAAGTGACGGTGCCTTGTAGTCTTAGCACCTAGGTAGTCGAATACCTAGGTTACAAGGTGTTGAACCAGAGAGGTTGCCTTAGGAACTCTGGGAGTGCTCTAGAATAGTTAGCTAACTGAGGACGGGATAACGGACTAGAGAGGGCTGTTTCCCCCGGCCTCGTTAGTTAACTGGGGGGTGGAATAATGGACAAGATAGAGCTATTTCGCCCACCCCCCCGTTACAAAAGGAGTCCCACAAAAGGAAATGTTCTGAATGATTGAACATGCCAAAATTGGCAGATAGAAAAAAAAAGAGACAAAAATGATAACCACATACAAAATCATGATGGACAGCAATAATATATACTGTATACAGTACTGTAACCCCGCGATTATCCGGGATTCGAACATCCGAAAAACGCCCTTATACGGCCAAAATCGTGAACGGATAAAGTTATCACAATATCCGGCCAAAATAGCCACAGGGACCGGATTAAAGCAGGTTTTCTGCAGAAATTACACTATCCGGTCAGTCCCCCGGATAATCGTGCCTTTGTCCGTATATGAAAACATGAGGCGGGCCATACGGTATTAATCCCGTCTGCCCGAGACTCGAGGCGCATGGTGTAGGTGGGGGTGGGGTGGGTGGGTGGTGTTGGGAGGGTGGGAGGGGTGCATCAGGAGGGACTACCTGGGTACAGGAATTACCATTAATTTTAGAACAATTAATCATAGCCAAAAACAAATAAAATAACTACTAGTAATTATGTAATAACAAATAAATAAGTTTCCTAAAAGCATTGTGCACAGGCTGAAGTTTCCTTCAAAAATATTGTGAATTTTTTTCCTCCTGGCGGCCTACGTAACGCTATGGCTGCCCCAAGTGGACCTGTCCAACACTGGTCAACCCATGTGCGTCCGTCCCTCGTGTTATACACAGTGCTGCGCCATTAGTGAAATATTTTTTTAAATAACTTTTTTATTTTCATAGTAACTTTGAACATTTTTGGCCAAGACTATGTCTGGTAGCAGCATCAATCGTTCTGGAGGTGTTAAGAGGAAGAAAGTTGTCCTAACAATAAAAGACAAGTCACAGTTATACACCTCAACCAGTGCGGCCTCACAGTGTTGCGCCATTAGTGAAATATTTTTTTAAATAACTTTCTTAATTTTCATAGTAATTTTGAACATTTTTGGCCAAGAATATGTCTGGTAGCAGCATCAATCGTTCTGGAAGTGTTAAGAGGAAGAAGATTGTCCTAGCAATTAAAGACAAGTTACGTGTTGTTCAACCAGTGAGGCGTCACAGGCAGCCAAGTGCCTTCAACAAGTGAGGCGCCACAGGCAAGCCAAGCTCCTTCAACAAGTGAGGCTTTATAGGCAAACCAAGCGCTTTCAACAAGTGACGCGCCACAGGCAAGCCAAGCGCTTTCAACAAGTGAGGTGCAAGCAAGCGCCTTTAACAAGTGAGGCGTCACAGGCAAGCCAAGCGCCTTCAACAAGTGAGGGCATGCAAGCGCTTCAACAAGTGAGGTGCAAGCAAGCACCTTCAACAAGTGAGGCCTCACAGGCAACCCAAATGCCCTCAACCAGTGAGGCTTCAGCAGCTGGCAGTCAAAACTAACTTAGCTTAATGAACTGTACAGTAATTTTAAGTGTTAATTTTAGTGTTGTGTTAGTATAGGTTACGTAAATTGTTAAGAATTTTTAACTTCAAGATGTGTGGCATCAATCAAGAAGACGAACACCAACAAGGTAAGTTGAGGTTTCTAGTTGAATATTTAATAATTGTATGTGGCAAGGCAATTCAAATTATGTTGTTTGTAGTATAAAAATAGTTGGAAATGGTCACTTTTGGACTCGTAGGTGAAAAAGTACCATTATCCGAAAAATGTGATAATCCGGCTGGGGGTCCTTCCCATATAGTCCGGATGATCGAGTGGAGACAGTATATACCTCTAGGACTTTTTCAAAATGCCAACATCAAGGGAAAGAGCACACTACACTTGTACAAATTCCAAAAACATGACTGAAAAAAAAAGTTGAATGTAATGAAATGTGCCTTTCTAGGTGGGCCCCGGTGATTCCCTGAAACTAAGTTGCTAATATAGTTTCCAAATACATAATGTACGGTGGTACCACTGTTTTTAAATTTAATCCGTTCACAGAGACACTTCAAAAATAAAAAAATTTAAAACTAAAATTAATTTTCCCATAAGAAATAATGTAAATTTAATTACTCCATTCCACACCCCCAAAAAAACAGCAATGAACGTAATGAACGCCATTTTCTAGGCGAGCCCCGGAGGCTCCCTGGAGCTATCAGGCTAATGTGTGATAGATTAGACTGGGGCATTAGTCTCTGGAGTTTGACCTACTGGGGACTACAAGCCAGAACGTGGACCCCTCAGAGAGGTTGCAGGGAGCAATGGCCCTGGAAAAAATCTGTGGTTGGTGATTTTTCTTATCTTCCATTGATCGGGGTTAGGCACACAGAAAGGTAGGCATAACAAAACAAACCCCACATGGTAAGTACAAAGAAAAACGGAACAGAGGCAGAACTCTCTCTAATCCAAAGGAAACAAGCAAATATCACACTCCACTGTCGTACCGCTTGTCCGCACAGCCCTCTCCTTGCGTCAACTACTCAGCACCCCAGTTCGGAAGCTAAGCATCAAACAAAGCAAAAAACTGCTGACTGGAGGGAGAGAGGGTTGCCAGGGAGCCTCCAAGGCTCACCCAGAAAATGGCATTTCATTACATTCAACGCAGGTTTTACGTGGGGAGCCCCTTTGGCTCCCTGGAACTACATAACCAAAGATAAGGAAAAGAGGGACTTTCCCGGGAGGCGGCCGTCACTCACTCCTCAACACGAAGTAGACAACTGGCTGCAACCTGCGACCCAAAGCAACACAGGAATGCCCTGGAGCAGGAACGTTAACCAAATAACGGGCGGCCATGACCTTGTTTGACCTCCAAAATCCCTGCACCCAGGACACATCAGCCCAGGACACATTGCCAAACACAGCAGCAAATGCAGCAAACTTCCTAATGTCATGGGCACGAGGATAGACCGCAGGCTGGCTAGACTTAATAACCCTGCAGACAACCTGGGAGAACCGAGCCCTGGAACAGGGAACGAAGGAAACCGGATCAACCCAAAGCGCATCCCCAGCCACCAAAACCAAATCGAGCAGATTACAGTTAAGAGCCACAACCGGACAACACACGATGCACCCCCGGCCTGACCAACCAAACATCACTGACCCAAGGACCCCTCCAGAAAGCAGGCTCGATCTTTGCCAGAAAAGAAGAAGGCTGCAACCGAACAAACTGACCACCAGGTCCAAGAGAGCAGAAAACCCCCTGCGCAAGTGTAGAGCATGAAGCTCACTGACCTGACCCCCAGAGGCCAACGCCAACAGAAGTAGAGCCATGGAAAAACAATCTTGAACCTAAAGGGCCACCACAAACCGAGGAGAGGAATGATAGGAAAACACCCTGTCCAAGGACCAGGACCAGAATGTGTAAACTGAGTAACAAGAGGAGAACAGGTCCCACAAGTCTCAGGGTCGTAGGTGTGTCTCATCCAACAGGCAGCATGATGGAGGCAGGATGAACGATCATCACCAAAAGGCAGAGGTAACGAACAACCCTCAACATCGCTTAAGGCGAGACAAGACTAGGAAGACACATCCATGGAATCCCCGAGCCCAACAGGGTTTTCCATTGCCGGTAGGATACGTTAGCCCTACGGGAAGCCCAGGTAATGAGGCCAGCTAACGGTAACCCCTGTCTGTTGCAGGCAAACTGACAACCGGAGGTAGCCGTGAAACCTCGGGGCAACAGAGGAGGACCACCAACACAACCTAGGCTAGCCTAATGGGAAGTTAGGCAGACGACCTCCGTCAATAGTAAGCGATCACGCTCCACAAAACAGAAATAAAACTAAGTCCCCGAAGCAACCTACACAAACCAATCGGTCCCCAGAGAGAACTGTCGGCCGCCACTATAAGTAGGCTGCGCCAGCTGCAGTGCGCCCCACCCAGGAAAACCCTGGGACAAGACTTGAAGTCCAAGACCTCCGACAGACCCCAAGGGCAAGAACAACGCCAATCACCGAAGCCCTCAAACGGGAGTGAGCCCCGAATGTCCCAGAGAAGAAAAACCCTGACATGCAAAGAAAGTACTTAGCGGGCACCTAGAGAAGATAGCCCTAGGCACATGCAGCCTGGAGCACCAAAGAACACCTGGCCACCACACCACACAAAGCTGGCAAAGCCACAAATGCCAAACCCAGTCAATAATTTGAGGCCAGAGGAGACTTGCCTGCAGGTGAGGTACAGTACAACACATGGACCAGGTAATGCTCAGTACCTGCAGGTGAGGTACAGTACAACACATGGACCAGGTAATGCTCAGTACCTGCAGGTGAGGTACAGCACAACACATGGACCAGGTAATGCTCAGTACCTGCAGGTGAGGTACAGCACAACACATGGACCAGGTAATGCTCAGTACCTGCAGGTGAGGTACAGCACAACACATGGACCAGGTAATGCTCAGTACCTGCAGGTGAGGTACAGCACAACACATGGACCAGGTAATGCTCAGTACCTGCAGGTGAGGTACAGCACAACACATGGACCAGGTAATGCTCAGTACCTGCAGGTGAGGTACAGCACAACACATGGACCAGGTAATGCTCAGTACCTGCAGGTGAGGTACAGTACAACACATGGACCAGGTAATGCTCAGTACCTGCAGGTGAGGTACAGTACAACACATGGGACAGATATATTTCTATCATACAATAATTGTAAAATAGTTACTCACTAACAAAGAATAAAAGTTTTCAAATTGATCGTACTTTTTACAATATATAATTGCGGCAGGCTGGAGCAGCTGGTACTGTGTGAAGCCGGATACGAGAGGCAGGTTGGGTAATGGTGCTCGAGAGAGGATGTAACCTAGCAGGACACACGAGCTGCCAATCTGTAACAAGATATTGCAACAATTAATAAAACTGGCATTGCCCTGCAACAAGTAAACAATGAAGTGATAACACAAAGACAACTGTAGAAACAGCGCATTTCTAACCAAAATATACGTTAATTTTGTGAATTTGTTTTTAAAACAGAAAGAACACGGGGAGCAAGCAAGCGTTCACTAAGGAAGGTAGGCAGAAGAGACACGACCACAATGTCTCCCATTTGCCATCAATTATGTAATGCTCAAGCTTACCTGTGCCAGTGTAATTCTTGGAGGGTAGGAGCAAGTCGTAGCCAAGTCACACAAAAACTGAGTCCATTGTTGAGTAATTTCAGGTGCATTTACACTCGCCAATAAGACTGAAGCATAGTCTAGAACTAAAAAAAAAATAACAGAAATCAATATAAAATGAGATATATTTTATTCCTTGTATGAATTGCAAAGAGATTATGTTTATCTAGAAAATGACACTACAATCATGTCTGTAAATGCAATAAATATTGAGATTAGCTGAATGAGTACCTCATACTGTACTCATACTGTAGTGAAGGCATGTATATTATGGTGTCTAACCCACCCTCCCACGCTTCCCCTTCATTTCAATACTATTAAGCAACTTTCCTATAGCAACATTTCTGGCTTTGAAATGTGTGCCCCCCCCCTCCCTCTCAGAGACCCTGAACTCACTGTGGCCCGTGGCTGAACACTGGCATCAGACGCCTCATGCTCCTTTCTTGGGAACCACTCGCCAAAAAAGTCAGTATTTTTATGTGGTGTATTGGCATGTGGTGGTTGCATTTTTAATTGATTTCTAGATACAGTACAGTAATTGGTTTTGGTGGATTACCCCAAACTGCATCTTTCTGGGTGTCTACCAATGTTGCCTTATAGTTTAAGGACTACATTATGTCTGCAAACTAGGAGAGTAATATAATAAATATTGTATTAGGCTTTCAATATGCAGATTAAATAATAAAAGAGTGGCACCTCCAAATCACTAATCAAATTATAAGCTCAATGTTATTCAATCTATACCAACAAATTTAAGTTTGATTTAGGATGCTGTACACCTGTTTAGTCCACCCTTTATTGTAACAACTTGTATAAGTTGTTACAAATAGTTTCTAGTTCTAAGGAGTTGATTACACACAGGTCTGAAAGCAAATGATGGAATCCGCTTGACACCTATAGCACTTAAGAAGGAGTAAACAGTACACCACAAAGGCAGAGTTAAGACTGCCATCAGTTTTATAAATCTATGAAATACCAAGAAAACCGAGAAAAGGGTGCAAGTGGTTGTGTAAAGCACTTTATGCTGGATGTGGAATGTACATAGAAGCAACTAAGCTCCCACCTGAGACATAACCACTGAAGTATGTTGGGTCAACTTGCAAGTGGTTGTCTTGTGTTTTCATTGTCACATTCCCTCACAGAAGAGATCAGAGGGTTTTCGTGCTTAAGACATTTCAAAATAAGGTAATTCTGGTAGAATTTAGTATTTCCAGCGACTCAATCACTGCAAATGATTTTACATAGCATCTGCAATGCCTGTAGCATCAGTGTCGTAATGATCTGCCAAGATGACAATGTTTCTTTGACAGCACAGCTCGATCAAAAATCTCGGGGCGTTACAAAATCCAAGCTCAAACATCAGATTCACAGAGGGAACTTCACATAAGCTGCAGCCTTTCCTCCTAGACAGTGGTATCAGGTGTATGCAGTGTAACACTATCACAACTTTTATCACAATTCTCTTGTCTAAAAACACCCACAAAATACAGGTTACTCACTTGTAGGAAGAGCAAGATTTGCCTTGAGGGCTGCCATAATGTGACCAATTGTACGCACAACATGGTTGTAACTATAAGTGTTGTCGGTAACCCAAGATGCTTGACGGATAGTTAGTATAGATGCACCTGGGATAAATCTGGAAGAAAAATAGAATGTTGGGTTGAATGAAATGCCCCTTTTCTAGCAGTACCATTACCAAGTACCATACTACGTTATAGGCAAGAAGCATAGTGGAGAGCATGTGTAAATCTACCAACAAGAGAAACCACTCATATTAACACCTAAGAGTATCTTAAGTCACTCTGCTCCCCCTCCAAACCAACTTTGAGACCTTGAAGATAGTCAAGTATTATTTTGACATTATGAGACTTGAGTATCAACTACAGTATCACCAACAGTCATCAGGTAGCAGCACCTGCAGGACTACAGGATGTGGCTGTTCTCACTATGCCAAGCCCATCCAAGTGGGACTAATAAATCCAAGATGGGAATAAATGGTGGGAACAGAGAGCCTATGACGTGTGTTACAGAAAAGATGGTTCATTTGCCTCAATGCTATTTTTGAGCCAAGTTCTTTTAGTTTCTTTCCCGAGCCACCTTCCCATGGTGTAAAAGTAGAGGACAAGCAAATGAAATAGCATTTTTTTTTTTTTTTTTTTTTTTTTTTTATTTATGTGATGGAGAGCCATACCGCCTCGGTTCAGTATAGCTGTGATACCATCCGTCACAATATAAAGCCCCAATTTTATGCCTCTGGCATTAATATAAGAATTATGTCAACTCGAGTAGTATTTCTATTTCTTATAATTGCCATTTCTATATGAAATACATTTGTCTTGGTTACTTATCTTCCTTTCCAATCTTCATTACCTTACAATTGTTCATGTTAAGTTCTACCAGACATTCATTGCAGTTACCTTGCATTGATTTCTGGGATCAATGTCCCCATGGCCCAGTCTCTAACCAGGCTTCCTATGCTCAGAGTTTTTTGGCAGCTTTCCTGCAGTTCGTTGCAGTTCTTTGCAGTCCTCAGTTTTCTACATGCCTTATTAGATTTGTCATGTATAACTTTGCTCCCTTAGGTAGGTCATTCACATAAATTTAAAACAGTAATGATCCTAAGTCTGAGACTTTAGGGGACCCTACAGGTCACATCCCTCCCACTTGACATTTCTCTGACTTTTAACCTTTGTTTTCTGTCTGCCAAGCATGACAGAAATACCCTTATTTCCCATTTACCCTTACCCATTTCAGTTTTTCCCAGTTATCCAAACTTGTTTCTCAATCCTGTACATAATCTTCTCACAAGGAACAATGTCAAACACTTTTCGATTCTAAGAAACAGCAGAGTATCCAAACTTCTTTCTACTGTCATATTTTAGTAGCCTGTTATAGAACTATCAAGTGTGTCAAGTATGACTCTGCCTCTTATATGTTAATGTACCTCTGTTACAAAGCCTCTCAAAGCCTTACACCTCTCTCCAGGTGTTGAATTAATTGTATTCTGGTGACTTCATCCTGCACTTGCAAAGAATGCATGTCAGAATGCATGTCAGAATGCATGTCAGAATGCATGTCAGAATGCATGTCAGAATGCATGTCAGAATGCTGGTTTAGAATTTAGGGCCTTTTATTGAATATTGGGACTGTTACCTTTTTCCAGGAATCATGGAAGGCTTGACCGTTTTATTACCCAATTAAATAGTTATTAATAAAGCATGAACTTCACATCAATTACCTACATAACAATTGTATTCAGAGATGTGGATCAATGTATGCTTAATTAAGATTCACAAAAAGCCTGATATAAACAAATCAAGATCATATCCACTATTAACCTAAAAAAAAAAAAAAAAAAAAAGATAATCCAGTACTGTATTACTAACCTGGTTGCCAAAAGAATAGCAGTGATGCCCACAAGCTGCAGCTGGTTACACTTCACTTGTTCTACGCTCAAGTAAGCTTCCAAAATCTGTAAAATATCAAGAAAATTACATTGTTTCAACCTAAAACATTTATATTTTGATAGCAAAAAGGCAATCGAGAAAGGTATCCGTTGAGCTAGAATAAGATACATCCAGATACGAACATTAAAGTGATTTAACAGAATTTGCAAATGCAACAGAAAAATAGAAAAAACCAGCGTTGAATGTAATGAAACGCCATTTTCTGAGCGATTCCTGGAGGCTCCCTGGAGCTATACTGGGCTGATATGTATGTATTACACCGTGACATCAGTCAATTCGAATGGAGTTCTAAGCCTACCGGGGACCAAGAGCCCGAACATGGCCCCCTCAGAAGCGCACGAGGAGCAATGGGCCTATAGAAACCACCATGTGGTTGGAAGCATTCTATGTCTGCCATCTACCGAGCCTAACTGCCCATCAGAACGTGAGGCGAGAAGCAAGGAACAGAGAGATGGCCTCCTTCATAATCGGCGCATACAACCTCAACAATGCAGCCGACGCCCGAGCCGCCGAGGCAAACACTCTGGACACCAGCCCGGAACCCAGCTCCTCCACATCCTCCTCGAGCCAGTCCAAAAGCAGCTCAAGAAGAGAAAAGAGGCAAGACCAAAGGCAAATGCCCACAGGCGCGCAAATCCTCGGCCACCAGGGACGCCAAAAGGGAGGGAACCTGCACATCAATCTGCACCTAACCGATATCACGAGAAAGCACAGGGGCAAACAAGCATGCATTGAGGTGCTCAAAAATTCCCACCCCCCTTCCCCCAAGAAGGGGAAATGACTAGTCAACTCCCGCCATCCCGCCTCCCGTCTGTCCAAGTCCGACAGAAAAATGCCAAGCCCTAAATGAACAGAAAGGGCATTCTGCCAACCAGGAAGACTCTGGAATCTCATAATGGACCTAGTAAAGAAAAGAGGAGCCAAACTCAAAAGAAGGGTACATAATCGAGGCGTAGTCCGGGTCTCGCAGGAGGTAAGCCACAAGATCCTCTTAGCACCTCCCTCTGTGGGATGCAGGAAGCCGAAAACCTCCAGGAGGAGGGAACCGAAGAACCCAAGGAAACTCGGAACCGAACCCGAGAAGAAGTCGCACTCATAACAAATTTGTACAGGGAGGGGAGACAAGAAAAACCCTACCCCTGTAATAACTGTGCCAAGGGTACCAACACCCAAACGGGGTCAAATGGGGCCCAAGCCCCCCCAAGTCAATTCCTCCCCAACCTCAGGATCCTCCACGTCAGGACCGAGCTATCCTCTAAACCCTCTGCCTTTGAAGAAAAAGCAGAGTCCACCAGAAAAGCAGAGATGAAGGGGGGACCACTGGCGCGATCCAAAAGCTCCGCAGGAGGAACAGGCTCGAATGCCTGTGCCGCTGGTTTGGAAGGGGCAATCCCCGAA